TTTAAATATATATATAATATATTTTATAAATTATATAAATCAACGATTCATATAATATAATTAAATCTATAATTAAATTATTACATAAAATAAATTATTATAAATAAAATATTCAAAAAATAAGAATAGTATAACTCTAACAATAACTGCGTTAATACGAAAGATGCAAGCGTTATTCATAATGATTGGGGATAAAACATTAGTAATTGGCGTTTTTAAGTCTGCCGTCAAATATCAATGCTCAACTCTATAGAGTCGGTGGAAACTATCAAGCTGGAGTAAGGTAGGGTTATAGAAAATTTACGTTATAGAGTTAAAATGTGTAAAGATAAAAAAAAAAAAAAAAAAAAAAACACCAACAGTGATACTGAGAGATGAAAGTTAGAAAAACTAATGAGATTAATATTATATTAATATATAGATACTACTTTAAATAATTTATCCACAAAATAATTTAAATATATTAACTGAAACTTTATACATTTAATAATAACGAAATCCATGAGCATAATATTATTTATTTTTATTTGATTTAATTTTATATGAATTAGTGGTTAATGAAAAAATGTCACATATCAAGACTGTTTATACGTGATAATAATATTAAAATTAATAAATATAATAAATTAATTCAAATATTTTTAAAAATTTATAAAAATTAATTTAACTTAAAATTAAAAGCAGATACTAAATCGAATAAATATAAATAGCACATGAACTGAAAACAACGTATTTTAGTCTCTTTTTTTTTCCTAGCACAACAATCTTTGTATAAAAAATACATCTAAGAAGACATTATGATATATTTAAATTCGCACAAACTATATTTTTATTTAATTTATAAATTTTATATGATTGAATATATAAAAGTTAATAATACTTATACATTTAATGTACAAACGGATAATCTCAAATTATATTTTAAATTCTATAACTGTTACTTTGTATAGGAAGAAAACAATTAAGGAATTACAAATATATAATTTGAATTGTAAATGAAATTAACTTATAAATTATAATATTATTTTTGTTTAAGCTTTTAGTTAATTTATATTTTACTTTTAATCATATTTTATAGAGTTATAATATAAATTAAGCTCACTTAACACTATATACACAAAATTTCTCCATTTTTTTTGAATAATAAATAAAAATCCAATAAGTCAACATGTTGGGGTGTAAAATTTCAAGCATAAGCAATGACTTACAATGACAAGCTCATGACTATGAACATTGATAAGAGATTCCAATGCCAACCCATTTTGACTTTTTTTGTAGAATTGTTAGTGTTTTGATTTAAGAGGTCACGAGGATGGTCTTGTGACACTGAGTTGAAAATGTAAATTTGATTTTCTATGTTTTTGTTTAAATTAGATATTTTTATTTTTATACACACTTTACATAATATAATAATAATTTATATTATATTATATCGAAAAATTATAAATAATTTGATTA